AATAATCGCGTAGAACAAGCTAGACAATAATTGAAAGGCGTCTGTACAAGGTCATTGGTAACTTGGCTTGCACGTGCTCGCTCGAAGGAAGCATTTTATCTTGGCGGTTTGCGATGCCAGAACCGTTTGCCAACTGTCCATCGCTCAACGGTGGTTAACACTAACTATAAACATAACACCAACAATAATAACAGTAATAATAATATCAACGGGCAATAACAATCGCGTGGCTAGTAACGTTAGATCAATAGTAGCGGTAGAACAGTAGTTCTGACAGCGGTACTAGTAACGGCGATCCTTAATAAATAGTGTTAACACGATGGTTTGGCGACACGACACGGCGGTTAATTTACGTACTGCGGTGAGTCGTGTGTATTGTTATTAGTTTTCATTTTCTGTTTGTCAGTAAGCGTTCTACATTACCCTCTACTCTTTCTTCATCGACGATTCTACATCTTTGTTACGGTTTTCGTCACGACTCGTGTGTAACGTACTTCTTTTCTTTCTCTCTCTCTCTCTGTGTGTATGTGTTTTTTAACCTTTTTTTTTGTTTTTTTTCTTTAGTTCAGCTACGGTTGAAGTAGTAGCAACATCGGACTTCTCGATCGAACTACCCATGAAGTTTGTTTTTAGCGTTACTCTCGCTCACATCGTACTCAACATGCACACACACACACACACACCACATACAGTACCGGACAAATGTTTTCGGAAAAAAAATCGTTTACTGTAGTATCTGAATTAAGGATACTACTGACGTTACATTAAATAATCAACGTCTGTCTTGTGTAATTGTTGTTTTCTTAGGTCGCCCATACTCGATATAATTTTTGCTGAATTTCTACCTCGTACCATTCGAGAATGGATAAGATAAAGGTATAATTATAATGTCCTCGTGAAGTTCTTGTTTCAGATTACAATTTATGGTTGTCGAATAAAACGTTCGAATACTTTCGTCTAGCTATATACAGATAAAACTTATTTTATATTTTGTGATACGTAGGTACCCTAGTAGCATTTATGGTTGGCCAACGGTATCCAACAGTTGGGAGTAGTGTTGTTAAAATGAGCCTCGAGTCTTGAGCTTTAACAGCTCGAGTCGCGGTTCAAACCCTAAAGGCTCGAACCCTCAAGGTTCGAAGCTTGAGTCGTGAAAGCTCGAGTCTTTAACGCTCGAGCCTTTAAGCTTGAAGGCTCGAGTCGTATAAATTGTATGTAGTGAAGTAATGTACAGACCTTGAATTTTCGAAGCCTTAAAACTTAACCTAAAAATTTTTTATTTTTAACTCTGATATTACACGAATCTCAAGCTTTTAAAGATTCAAGGGGGAATAATCCAAAAACGTCCAGAAAAGCGTGGTTTTTATAAATTAGTTCTGCAACACCCAAACCTCATTATACTATTATTAATAGGGTGATCAAATATATATTTTGGACAATACGTTAAATTTTCTTTTATTACAAAATACCTATGTATACTTGAGCAAGATATACGAGTCATAGGATGTTACGCGTCGAACAAAATAATTTCTCAATTTGTTCACGGTTCATTGATCAAAGTTGGGACATTTTTTTCGTTATTCACGTGATATTCGACTTAATATTCTGGTAGAATATTTTCGAAAAATTATACTTTGAAAGTATATATATAAAAAACTTAATTTTTGCCAATCGTCACTGTGTTATTCCACATTAAGTCTGAAGCTTTAAGGTTCAACCCTCTAGAACCCTTAAGTGTTAAATAATGGAATTTACACTAAATCTATAATATTATACTTTATACAGTTTTTAAAAAATACAGCGATGACTGCAAACACATGAGAGATTGATACCAAGAAAGGGAAATGAAAAATGAAACAAAATAACCATTGAATAGTAGACGAAATGAAACATTGCTAAAAATTTGTCTGTAATGTTCAAAATATAGTATTATCTGATCGACTGGAAACATACTCTTACGCCGTGGGAGTCATAGATGACCGGCAGCAAGATTAATGTACTACGCATGATAAGTTTGCACAATACATATAATCATATTGTGTAATATATTATTATATGATTCTAATGGGCAATCACTCTTTGGCGCTGAAGACAAAACCAGCAGAAACACGCTCAGCAGTGAACGTGTTAAACATAAAAGCCTCGAGCTTCGAGGCTCGAGCCTCGACTACTCAAAGCCTTGAAACTCGAGCCTCGAGCCTCGACGACTCGAGCCTTGGAGCTCGAGCCTTGAGCCTCGAGCTTCATATGATTGTAGCCTTAAAGACTCAGTCTTTAAGGCTAAGCTTTGTAGCTTCAAAGACTCGAGCTTTATACAACACTAGTTGGGAGTTAGTTGGGATATAGTCAGTGTTTTTGCCTACAAATTCCCAAAACAGGGCCCACGACGAAAAAGTTATGACTAGACTGCGGATTTTTATGCAAATATAGAGTTTTATTGTCTATTTTACAAAAACTAGCATCAAAGAAAAATTCCTTTACTTTGTTAAAGGTACTATTAGGTTCAAAATAAAACAAATACAACGAAAAATGTCTTTGTCTGAATTCATTTGTCCGGTACTTGTATACGTTGTGCTTGCGCACAGACGTATAGGAAGACAATCAGCCGACCACGTTCTCACGGCACGTACTCTTTCACCACACACGCAGATACATGCATACGTTATGTTTTCTCATTCGCGAGCCTCCGCTACAGGTCTATCAATTACGTACGTACACAGCATTTTTTATTGCAAAAATCAGCGGAACACGGGTCGCGATCGGAAATGGCGGGAATCGTTGTGTTTTCACCATTTTCTTCCTTCTTTCTTTTTCTTTCGTTTGGTTCATCAACGAAATGCAAAATATATAGAGAGACGTCTCGACGATATGTTTCCCGCTGATCACATCAACACACGTGTTGCGTATTTCCGTAGAAGCTCGTTTATAAAAGTTCCCGCGTATTCGCGAATGCGCGACCCGACGTTACTTCATCTAAAAATAAGCTGTAATAACCTTCTTGCGTGCAATTCCATTTCTGCTTCCCTCCGATAAAATATAATATATATTTGTGTATATATATATATATGTATATAATATATCTGTTTCTCTGTTTCTCAGCCAGCAGCGTACAAATTTTGCGAATGTATTCGCGATGTCGCTACTATATATGTATACAGGGTGGACCACGAAATGTGGTCAGCTTAGATTATTCTACTGTTAGCTGTTGGATTGACAATTTGGGTGATAGTGTACAATTCGGTCGGTATCTCCGATTTTCTTCAAACTTTAATATGTTAAAAGAGGCTCTCTAAAAAAGGTAATATATCATTTTATAAGATGTCACAAACAACTTTGAAAATTATTGTTTTTTTTTTATTAAACTAGCTCTAACCAACTCTGATAAGTATACTGCTTCGAAAATAAACAATTAAACCTCTTTTTTTACTGTTTATAGCTTATGTTCTTTCACGTAATTTGCATTTGTAGTGATGTTTAGGTTAGGTTTCGGTTATGAATTTAAATTGAAATTGAAGGTGCTTGTACTTGTTTGCGACATTTAAAAAAAATGATATTTTGCATTTTTAGACAGGCCCTTTCAATGTATTATAGTTTGGAGAAAATCGGAGATACCGACCGAATTGTACACAATTACCAACATTTGTTTTACTATTGCCAACATTTGTCTCATAAATAGAACTAAGCAGTCGTTTCTTAACCGTTTACACGAGTGTGTATTGCAGATGATGGACACCCATTTTGAACGTCGTTTTAATTAAAAGGTAAAGGATATTTTCTTAACATTTGTTTGGTTTGGAAGACGAAAAAGTTATTTGTTGTAATGTCTGACCAATTTGTTTCAGTATCCGTTGAAAGATGGGCGTAAAGAAATTATAGGTTTATCTATAAAAAAGAACTGAAGGTGACCTTGAAAGCTCTGCGGAAAAAGGGTGGGACAAAAGAATTTGGCACAAACATCTTAAAGATCTCCTTGAATCGTGTTATAGTAGCCAGAAAATTTTTCGATCGAACAGCTAGCAGTAGAATAATCTAAGCTGATCACATTTTGTGGTCTACTCTGTATGTACAGAGTGAGTCAATAAGAACGACTATTTAAAATAACTCATTACCTATTAATTATATCAAAAACGCTTTTAATGAATTATTATAGCATTTTAAGGAACGCATCGGATGAATACAGTGTGATTTCATTATATCTTACTTTTTCTAGATATCAAGGTGACCTTGAGTTTTTTCAAGGTCAGTGCATCTTTTCTTTTAACACCAATCTATGCTATAGATCACTGAATTTGTCCTTCTATCGGCAACAACGTGGTATGAAATAAAAGATGCATTGACCTTGAAAAAAGTCAAGGTCACCACGATATGTAACAAAACATAAGATACAAAAAAATTAAATTTTATCTATCCGAAGCATCCTTTAAAATGCTAAATAATTCACTAAAACGCTTTCTGATACAATCAATAGGTAACGAGTTCTTTTAGATAGTACTTCTTATTGACTCACCCCGTATATATTAATTATTTATTACATATGTATTCTCGAGATTTAGTTCTCGGTAGATATTTGAATTTTATTTACTTTCTACGCATATATGCGAGAGACGCCGGTTGCTTTCACGCGGAGGCCGTATTCGTGTGTGTGTGTGTGTATGTGTGTATTTATTTTTCTCTGTTTCTTTATAGATCCCCTTTTTCTTCGAATTTTTCTCCAGGATGTGTGTGTGTATGTGTGTGTACTACTGGAAGTACGTTCTCGCGTATCTCTGGCAGTTTGTATCACCGTTACAGCTACATTTTTTTGTTTGTAATTCGACTACAAGTATCCTCGTTTCTTTTTTTTTGTTTTCCGTACTTTTTTATTTCCGTTGCGAATCGTTCGAGTCCCCCGGAATATCGAAGTGTGTCGGTGTGTGTATTGTGCTCTCTCTCTCTCTCACACGCACACACTTTCACGCGCAATGAAAGCGTTCCTTTTTTTTTTTTTTTTTTTTTTTTTTTTTTGAAAAATAAGAGCGACACCGGTGGTGATCGTGTTAACTCTTAGCCAACTCGTTGACGTTCTCGCGGTTCCCAGGTCTCTCGTACCTCGCGGTTACCATTTTCTAAACGGGCTTTGAACGGTCATTTTCGTTTAGACGGAACTCGATTTTTTTTTTTTTTTTTTTTGAGTGTTAATTGTCGATTCTTTGGTGAGAAACGGAAATCGGAGAACGAACAAGTTGGCCCGGGTCCGAACGGTCTTCCAATTGAATCGTTGATTCCGGTTTGACTTTTTGTTTTTATTTTTGTTTATTTTTTTTGTTTACTTTGTTTAGGCGCAGCGTGTGTCTCCTGTTCACTGGGGGGGTTTAGGCTACGGAGAAGTACGGGACGGTCGGGATCGGTATCGCGATCGGGTACGAGAGAAGTAAACTCGGCACTGCCAGGACGACCGTGAACAGGGACGTGAACGGTAGCAAGAAGTAGGACGGTGTACGGCTCTCGGCCGAGTTGCAGAGATTATCGTTGCACGAGCAGTAGCGCGCCTGTACGTCGTGGGTCCCCGTTCGTAACAGGCATTCCGCGTTGTCCCTCTCGTCGGTGATGTATCCGCAGCCTCTGACCACCCTGATCTTGCCGTATACTGGAAGATTCGTATGAAAATTAGATCGACGAATTGAAACGAAATACCGGGTCATTCACATGCCAAGCGGATCAGTCTGGGATTTTGCTCAGACGGAAATATGTTAAACTTCGTGTGAAAATAGGGTGAGTTTAAGTCATGATTTCGTTGGTTTTGGAATTGTTTAAAAGATACAGACCCCTTAAGGTTGATAATATTTTTGGTTTAAATTTGGTATGGTTAAAATTTTTCATTGCTTGAACTGAATAAGTGTATGAGCTGCTGAATTTTTATGATGAACCAGTGTCGGTATCTCCGGTTTTCTTCGTACTTTAATATACAGGGGGTAACAAAAATGTTGGAGGACCCGGAAATGGGAGACTAGTGAGGTGATTTGAAACAAGTTTTTCCTTAGAAAAATATTATTTTTTCGTCTTAAGTCGATTTTTTCGAAAACTAAGCTGAGACTAACAAAATTTTATTCTATAGTTTTTTCTTATTTTTTCACAGGGAATTATATATTTTCGACGATTTATGACTTGAAAAAAATGAAATAAAGCATGTCTGACTACACACGGTCTTTTTCACTGTGGCAGTCAATGAGTTAACGTCCACAAGTAGAGACAGTAGATAATAGTCAGACGCGTAGGCTCTGAATTCTGAAAGTTTCATAGACAACGCCATTGTCTAACGCTTCAGTGAGAACTTTGGGTCAAATAGACATTGTATTCCTCGAGCAAGGATTAAAAAACATTGCACATACATATATGATCTAAAAAAAATGGTACAGGGAAGTAACCTTGAACAGAGATGTTTTTTTTTCTGTTTCCTTATTGCATCAAGATTATTTCCCCTATTTTGCACCTGTACACTTTGAATGGCTGTACGTGTGCCTGTTAATGTATTTCTGTCTCGTCTAGCGAATCAATTGTGCATTCAAATCACAAGTCGGCCGACTGAAATAGAATCCTAACAATCTCACCGTAATCAATGGATCAATGGAAAAGTTAAGCTCATTGATGTAACAAAAGAAATGATTAGAACTGTGATTATTTAGAACTGTGAATATCTAAAAAACTCAAAAAATATAAATTCTTTACACACACTGAATTTTATACAATGGAGGGCGCCACGAATAATCAAGTTCGTAGGGTAGAAATCGTTTTATTTTTGAAAACAAAAAAAAAACAAAAAGATTTAAGAACATTCGCGATTAACAAAGTTACCATGAATTTGGCAAAGGGTTCCGCTTTCTCTGCACAGATGGTGCTGTTCGTCCGTTATCACCTGCGAAAAACTCCCGAAGGACCTACCCCAACGGAAAGTTAGGGATTGCGAGGGGGATTACGTAAGCGCTATTTGAGGGAACTCCGTGCGGCCGTACATCGTAAATTCCGGTTAATGTTGTCGCGACTTTAAAGGACCCCGTTACGCGTACTTTTTCCAGTCTTGATGCCGCCTAAGGGTTTTAGGGCTACGAGGGCACCGCAATGCAGATAATTGCACAATGTGTTCAAACCGTTAATCCTTGAATTATGGATGTTACGAAAACAATACGGTAAAAAAACATACTTTACCGTTTTACATTGTTTCTCGTCAGAACGAACTTTGGTAGATGGAAGATGGTAATCATTTAATAGAAGTCTATAATGCTACTTTGTGGTAATTCACTTTTAATGGAATGTACCCTCATGAGCAAACTTGATTTCTGCTAAGGGAAAAAATAGCATAGGAGAACGGCCTCCTACTACTTGATAAATTTATTTCAAGTATCTAAAGAAATTGTAAACCAAATGTTAATTTACCATAAATATCAATAAATCCTCGAAACAAGTAGTAAGAAGCCCTTCCCCATCGCCACTTTTTCCCTTAGCGGAATTTAGTTAATAAAAATTGGTCTTTCACACCGTCTTTTAGCAAAGCAATAAGATTCGTGCTTGCACAACTGCTAGAATTTGCTGGTACGAAAATGATATTCGTATTGTCTTACTGTCAAGGTCATGCGAAAGTCAACTTCACTATTTTCTTTTTTTTTTTTTTAAATCATGCCTGTTAACGTATGCTAAGTACCTTTTTGGCTGATCTTCCGGCAGATAGTGGGTTCCAAATGGTTCAGATGCTCCAGCCGTGGTTGAAAGCTGCAGTTCACGGTTCCAAGACTGTACGGATCGAATGGGTCGCCGCACCTTGGATCGTATTCGCTGTTGCACTGGTAGCATATTATTGCTTCACCTGGAAAACCGTGATTCGGAATTTGAAAATCAGGAAATAATCATCACGGTGTTCGAGAAATAACCAAGTGATCAATGGGACGAGAGAGAGAAAAGTCTTTGATGATTGCATACCGTAAGTGATACCCTTTGAATACGATCATGTATAAAAAGCTTCAAATTTTTTTTTTTATAATATCGGTGTGTATAGATGTGGTGGAGAATAGAAAAGCTAAGATAAATGGAAAGTAATCTTTCGAGGTAGGAAGAAATTGGATGAACTGACTCATAGCTAGATTATTTATTATCTTATTTCGAATAAAATCTGCCGAACCCTGCTATCGATTATGATAGGGGTAGGTCAGGACACACCGAGGGACTGCTCGATCCATATTATAAACCGTTGGTCGCAACTCCTTGGCGTTTCACCCTTATCGCGTAGCTGCGATTCCCTCGAAATCTAGGCCACTAATAATGCACGTGTGTTTGTCGTTCATCACGTACACGGTGTGCAATCACTCTGTCGCCGTTGGTTATTAATTTTTAGATCTGTGCAGGACAGAGAAGTCGCACAGAATGATCGTTGTTTTCATCACGAATCCCCCGTTATCGTTGTCCATTGGACAGGATATAATATACGAGTTCTAGATGGAATATTTAAATCGTTCGATATAGAGTTATTCTGAGGTGGAAAATAAGCTTATTTAGCTTACTCGACATGATCGATGCACCAACAGAAAGAACGTGTATTGAAGTTACTTTGTGGGAAGATTCGTTTTCGAGGCGGAAATCCGACTCGACAATTTCAATAGAGCTGATCACAGTGTCTGCGTATTGCTGGTTGGTTCTACTTGAAATTGAACGCGGTTGAAATGTGAATAATGATCATTTTATTGTCGCCATTCATATCAATCTATATACAATTGTGTAATAGAATATAAATGTCATTGTATGAGCCGGTTTTTTTTCTGAAAGTGGTGTAAGTTCATTTTTGGAAAAAATGAGTTAAGGTTCATGTTTCGTATTTTATTTTTTCATATTTTAAATGTATTATTCCGAAGCATACTGTGCATTACAGAAAGAAATTTGGAAAATCGTAAAATTAAGCACCATAGGGGTGTGACCTTGAAAACTTTTTAAAACGAAAGAAAATGTGAAGGGGGAAGGATCCCGGTTATCCAGAACAAAAAGAAATCGAAACGATTCTGTTCAATTTTCATTTGCTAGGAATTGCTGAAGACATCTGCAAATTTTATTTGAAATGAAAATAAGAAGTAACTATTTAAATAACTTATATCGAAACTTGATTTTCAATACTTACAGTCCTTAAACCAAATTCAGACCTAGTCACTTGGTATAATTTTGGTGAACGATTTCACAGTAATTTTTCAAATAATGTTCCCTCAGTTCTTTCACAGTTATTTCCAAAAATTATTTCGAATGATTAGAAAATGAAATAATATATTATTTGAAATAATATTTCAAATAATGTTCTCACTTCAAAAGTGCCCTATGTTTGGTTCACGGTCGGTATGCCGTGGTGCACCGATGATTGGCTACGGCCCTGCCGCGTTGTGACGTCACGACGCAACCCCATTCACCACCCTCCCGAGTCCGGTTACGGCACCAGCTGATATCGAGCAGGAAGACCCTCCCCCCGCCCCTCCCCCCGACCAATGCGCGCGATGACCTACTGATACTTTCGCAATGAAATAGGGCCGTGTGCATATGTAGGTGAGAGCGCGAGAATTCGCGACGGGGGGCATAGATTTTTGCGAAACGTCACCGCCAACAATTGTTTGACCGATGACCGTTGTCTACCGACATTTCATCGAAATGAATCGTTGAATTTCAAATGAATATTTCAGGATCTGCAGGTTACCTCCATAGCCCCGTGTGTACGATTACGTAAGAATGACGCCAGTTCCGTGCTCCTCGAAAACCGAATCCGTACCCAGATATCACATAACGTCTTGAAGACGTCCATTTTACGTTCAAGGCGCCTTTAAGCCGTCTAGAAGACGTCATTGGGTCGTTACCCAGAATTAATACGTTAGAATGTTGTTTTTCAATTTGGGATCTACTTCTCTCTTTAGAAGATAGATCGTAATTTATTCAGGTGAACTATGTTACCTTGACCCTACAGTAGAATAGCCAATTCTCTGGTATATCGAACAGAGAATGAACCTTATTCGTGACTATTACCGTTTTCCACGGTTGTCACGGTAAGATGTGAGTTAACAAAAATGCTATTATAATCCTTGAGTAAATGACGAAAGGGTTAGATCGAATTTCTTTAATTTTTGTTGTATAACCTTCGGATTTTGAATACATTTACAGATCCTTAATACTGTTATTATTAGAAGGGGAATTGTTTACGTGTCAGTCTATATAACATGTCAAAGTATCGACGCGAGGAGCTATATTCGATGTTTGGTTTCCACACAGGAATGTCGTGTAAACTGTATCTCGACTGGGTTTAGGCAGCTCAGGTTTCCTTCACTGGCTTCTTCCCTTCGTCGATTCGCCGAACGCAGCAACGAGCGTGCACGAAAATGCCGAATGGAGGGGGGAACGGTGACTCTCGGGCACCCTGACCTTGGTTTTCTGCAGGGCGTTCCGACAGCCGTCCACCGCCCCGCCCCCTCCGTTCACGTAGCTTCCGTGTGCTGTTAATCATTCATAAAAACAACTTTCCTCGCGGTAGAACACGACACAACGAGAATACCAATCGCCAATGGGACTACTCGAATTAATTTAAACAAGAATATGTATATATGTATATGTATGTACAGTAAATCCTTGATGAGTGTTCGAAGATTTCTTGAGCACTGACAAGAAGAGGTCACCCAGGTATAACGCTGATTTTTTATGACCTAGCACAGCGATAAAGCTTGGAATTCTGAAACCAATGACATTTGTTTCAGCTGCATATTATTATTAAATATTTAATGTTTAGTGCCCTGAGGAGCATTCGAACACTCGTCGAGAATCTACTGTATATGAATTTAGGCTAATGCCTTATTTTTACGGAATTAGTACATGTGTATATAAAGACACACGAGCAATGGTACTTCGATGATATTTGCATTCCTTATGTAACACCCTATCTGGCCTGTATTAAGATTTTTCGGGCCGGGGCTAAGGAAGCTAAAGGTGCGTCCCCATTATGCCGATCGGCAAAACCGAACCATGTGGCAATATGTCGTGTGTCATCAGCACGTGCCAACAACAAACCATACGGCATAATGGGAATGCGCCTTGAGATTTTGTCAGAAAAGTGTTTCGAGGAATTTCTATGGCATCAGAAACGACATTCTTCAATGCCTAATTACTTCAACTCCACCCTCTGTTAGTCGAGACGTTAAAGGGGATAGGTAAACGTGACTCGTCGACGAACAGGGGGTTGGACGGATGATGCGATCTTTGTACTGTTTTCGCGAACGGGGTTGCCAAAACATTGGCGAGGAGTGCACACGGTGAAAGGCAGCTCATCTCGATGACATTTGAAACCGCGCGCGAGACGTTTCGATCAGCGGTAAATAGGGCGGGCCGGCTGGCGTGGTAGACGAGCGGAGAGGGGGTAGGCACAGTAGGTAGGAGTCGCGTGAAGAACGAACGAGGGCTGCGTGACATTGCGGATCCTTATGTAACCGATGGGAACTGGGAACGAAAGGGGTTTGGCTGGGCTCGTTCTTTCTCGTTGACACAAATATGCCATCGATAAAGGGAACGTCCTCTTGGACAATTCTCCTGCGATTGTTCACCCCCCCCTCTCCCCGCCCCTCATTGATTTGGGGGATGAATTCTGAATCCTTAACACAGTGTTGACTTCTACGTGTACAGGATGTTCGAAAAAAATTAATTCAATATTTATATGGTACGTAGGGGAGACTAGGGTAGAATGTAACAATTTTTGGTTTTCATGAGATAAAAAAGTCTATATTTTAATTAGAGATTTAATATTAATTTGTACGGATAGGTTAGAGGTTCGAGATTAGTTCTATAGCGATGTAATGTTTTTAGATTAATTGTTAAAAATATTATGACCGTGAAAATTGACTGAATAGGATTGTTTCTTTAACGTTTTAAAGAGAAGGGATTGGTGTATAATAATTGAAATGCTTTTTTGCTAGTTTCAAAACTACTTGGCATTTGCTATATTGCCGTTTCTTTTAGTGGTCAGATTGACCTTGAATTAAAACAGAAAAAAGAACAGTGAACTAGTATATACTCCTCTCGATTATCGTCTGGATTGTTCTACACGATTATTGTCCAGGCTTTATCCCCACCACTGGGGGGGGGGCGTAGAACCTGTCAAGCGCATACTTTGTTGCTTTTGTTACCGAGGCTTGGGCATTTGGAAAGCATTTCCTCCTATAGGATTATTGCCCTGAGAGGAGTCTGTACTTTGAATTTTTTCTGCGATACTAATCGAGGCTAAGGTCATTTCATACATGCTTCTTCCGTTCCAGTATTTTGACATCCAGATTGACTTCACGATCACACTATATGTTCTTCGTCAATAGTATCGTTTCGATATATTGACCAAAGCCCACGCTGGTAGGACTGCTGCTTACACGAAGGAGAAAGACAAAAGAATAGGAAGCTCATCGACAACTGGGGGCTCGCGTGACTGTCGACGTCCATTGCACACAACAGCTTAACCTGCTGTTTATGGCCAAGTGTGTACTTGCTTTATACGGAATGGAGTACCTCATTAAGCGGATGGAGCCTGGGTGGCCGACAGTCGAAAGTTTCCTCTCGATCGTCTTTACATCACGGATTCTGTTCTGTTGACATCTTCGACAGCTGTGTGCTCAGCTAGATTACACAAGTTGAATAATAGTGAACACAAAATTATTCTGGATGGTAAGGTATCAACACCACGCTCAGTGTTGTGCTAAGCACCTCCAGAAAATAGTTTACAATTCGGTCGGTATCTCCGATTTTCTTCAAACTTTAATACGTTGAAAGGGGTTCTCTAGAAAGGCAAAATATCATTTTTTTAAATGTCACAAA